TGCCCAACATGCAGAAACTGCTGCTGTGTGCCCTAGGATTTACTGGCAGTGCTGCCCATGCACCTGATTGCTGGTGTCTGGGGCTGTTTCTGCTCCAGTGACTGTGGTGACTAATGTGGTTTGCTCAAGTTGGTTCAGACACTGGTCTTAGTCAAATAATGCAGCAGAAAGCAGCTAATCAAGTTACTGGATTTTGTGGCCCACAAGAAATTCCAGATTGCTGGCCCATTTTGGTTGCTGCTTGCATCTGTGTGCTGGAGCCAGCTACTTTTAAGTTGGCTTATATGGGGGACCCTCTGTGTCCTTGTTTATCAGTTTCTGAGCAGAGGTATCAAAGTGTCTGAGTTTAGAAACCATCAGCCTCTGTCTTGAGATTTTTTGTTCAGCTTGAATGGTTTCCCAGAGTAAAATGTAAAAAGAAGATCTTGCTCTTAACTCCATCTGGAATTGCTGTTCTTCCCAGTAAAGCCAAGTGATGGTGTGTTACTCACTGTGGAGTTACTGATTTTGCACTAGGCTAAAGAGCTGCCAATTCCTAAAGCACTGAACGTGCATCTCTGCTTGGGTACTCTGATCTTCAGCTGGGTGGAAGGACCAAGTAAAAATATATAGACCTTTTCCAGCTTTCCCTTGCTTTCCAATACTGAGTCTATAATCCTTTCAAGAAGGGAACCTGTCAGCAGCACCTGCGTAGTAGCCATAGTGCTGTGTTTGAAACCTTCTGTCTCTGGGTCTGTATCCTGAGGATATGGCTTTAATTGCTTTCTGCAGTGAGTTTGGGTATTTGTCTTTGGAAACTGTTGCTTCTTGATTAATTGATGGGCATTGAGACTGGCACTTTTCCTTCCAGTGCAGTGCTTATGATAGAAATTCTCAAAGTACCTTGCTTTAACCTCTCAGACACTTTGTACTTCTTCATGGGGTTTATATCTGTGTAGGAATGAATTTGCCAAGACAAATGAATGCAGTTATTGACTGAAGCAGCTGTTACCTGCCTCTATTGAACAGTTAGGAGAGGGTTAAGAAGAAAACCTCTTCTGAGCCACTAGATTGGCCCTGACTAAGACGAATGTCTAATTCACTCCCAGCGTCCTTACTGCTGCCAGTAATAAAAAGCTTGCTTCACATATTCACCCCACTGCAGACGTTTCTCTTAAATTAAATATCAAGAGGACATATAATAGCACGATTCCACGCCAAGCCAATATTATCAGATTGATGTCAGCAGTGATAATAGAAGAAGGATAAGTTGATGAGATTTCATTTATTAAATAAAGTAAGGGGAATATGCAGTGATAGAAAGGATTTGGTAACTCTCGGTGTCAAAATGCAGCAAGATCGTGCTCATTCTGTCTTACCTCAAGGGATAGTAGAGAGAAGGATGCCCTTTGTTTCATTTTAAGAAAACCTCTCCCTTCTTTTCTAGACAAAGACCTGATTTAAATCTCTCCATAGGAGGGGGAGAGGAAGTTCTGAAATCATGGATTTCATGTGTATGTAGCCCTCCTGCCCATTGCACACTGACAAGGCAAAGGTTTCTTTCCTCTCTGCGATAGGGGAGGCACTACTAATGAATTTTATTTCTAAACCCATCTTTTACTTTTTCCAACCTGTCATCTTTTCTCCTTTCCTTCTCCTTTAAGCAGATGAGAGTCTGTTTTATTGATTTAATCTTTCATATTCTGTATGTCCTGCATGTATTTATTTCCAGAGTATTGTAAGAGCTTGTTCCATACTTCCATCTGCAGATATTGTGCTATCACTTCCCAGCCCAGCCTTTCTCTCCTGCCTTTTTCCTAGCTGCTGTAAATGAGGCTCTTACACCTGTTTTGATAATAGTTGTAGCAGTTGCAGCGTATTTTATTTCAGACAGAGGCCAACTGTCTACCTCATTTGGGGGAGGCATATGCTTAAAACTTTGACCCACTTTAGGAGAAAGGTCAGAGCATACAAGGCTTCTGCTAGTTGTATATACAAACCTCATCCCTTTTCCACCGTTTTCCTTTTCTCTCATGTGAGAAATAATAGTAAAACCCTCAATGACACATCAGGAGCAGTGTGATCGGGTGTCCAGAAGATGAATTTTCCTAAAGATCAGTTAGTGCCAACAGCCTTGAGCCAGGCTGAGGGTGAAGGGAGATGGCTGATGAGAATCCACCTCCTTTGGAACTCAACCCACAATGTCATTGCATACTACAGGATGTGTTTGTAGTTGGATGCTGCTGGTTTAATTCCTTTTTGTCTCAGATATGCACGAGGAAAGTCAGACACCTGTAAGGTGCAGCTGTTGTATGTGTACAGGGCTGCAGTTTCCCCAGTGTGCAAATGCTGCAACCTGAAGCTGAGTGTTAATGTGAGCAGGAGAGTGGCACCCCCTTGATTCAGGCAGGCATTGTGATTGCTGTGCAGGCAGGAAAGCATCTCAGGCAGCTGTTCACCAGAGCACTTCAGGTACCTCCTTCCAGTCCAGATGGGTACCAGAACTAATCTGCTGGATGTGGATAACTTGTGTACTCCCAGGTTCCACTGTAACTTTTATTGATAATTACCTAAACCAACTTTGCAATTTGTTGATTAGCGTCTCTAAATCTGTTTTGAGAAGCTGGTGCAATTGATGCATAACCACTGCTTGAGGTTTTGTTTTGAAGAAATAAAGGAGAATAATCTTGTTATGATTTTGGGTACACGGTACCAAATAAATCCTCCCTGTGTTGTGGGAAGTGGTGTGTAGGAATGCTGGTTTAAATACTTGCTGGGCAATGCATGCTGGTCTGTGCTGATTGATCCCCTGCCTCTGCTAGGCTTTAGGCAACAATACTCTTTTTTTGTGGCTTCTTGCTCACCACCGTGTGGCTTTTAAATAGCCCTGTGGGCTGAGCACCAAGGGATCTGTTAAGGAAGAGGGCCACAGACTTTGTAGCACTGTGTGAACCCACAGGTGGCTAATAACTAAGTTAGTTATTACTGACTTCATAATTATTTTAAGCAGTGAAGACTGATACCATAGGAAGGACAGTGATCTAAAGCAAAACAATTTCTGTAGCTCTCCCTGCTGACAATGACAACCTCTAAATATTTTTAAGATGTTTGTACCATGCTCAGTTCAGATGAATAAAAACTGGTTTGTGGTGTGCTGTACCTTTTAGCTCTTCTGGGTTTCTATACGAAAATTACAAAATGCCCTTCGGTTTAACATCACTGAGTTTAAAAAAAACTAATTTTAAAAGTCTTAACTTTTTCAATGAATTGAGGGATTTGGTGGTATTTCCTGACCTGGTATTGTTTGGTATAATTTCCACAGTCTCACTGATTTGATTAGAGTGATATTAAAGTTAGTGACAAAGCAAAATGCCAACATTATGAGTTTCTGAAGCTCTCTCTGGGTTCTTTTCTATCCCAAAATTTGAAGATTTTTTTTTTTTAGAATATGGATTTTCGAGGCTTTAAAGGTGATTTGCTATATAACATAGAAATTAAAAATGAACACTAACCCTTGGGGACTGTACATGGAATAAGTTTCTTGTAAAAGCTGTAAGATTAGTGAAGAGGTAGAAAAAGAAGTCTGTATAGTATCCTTGCTGGTTTCTGATCCAAATCTCAGTCTTCTAGTGTGGCTGTCATACTGATAAATTCCTACTCTGTCCATGTATGTTGGCAGTATGACTGAGGACTGAAGAAGTATTAATTAGAGTATAGCTCAACCAAATTATTGGCAGAGTGCACCTAGGTTGCTGATAGGGAAAAGACAAAACTGTTCTTCTTTTGGTGCTTCCACTCTTTGCTGAGCACTTTACATATGTGCATAATTTGGAAACTCATATCTGAGCTCTCCAAAAGCATTTAGAAGATCTTGGTTTAAGATTTCCTGTTTCTTAGAAGTCTCTTCCACCTGAGAGACTGTGACATGCCCAGGGACAGGTCATGTTTTCCCTCTCTCTGCCTTGCTATGAAGCCCTTTTGCTGAATAAGTGCCTGTTGTTACTGTGGAAATGAATACATCATAGCATGGCATTAATATCTGCCTGTAGCATCAAGTGCTTTGGAAGGAAGAGGTGTGTTTGATATTTGGGCACAGATCTCTAAGCATATTGGAGCAGGAAATGCAAGGAATTAAATGGATTTATGGTTTAGGAGACGACATCTGAGGATTGCTACACCTAAGCATATGTTCTGTTATTCTCTGGTAAAACATACCATGGCCATGGTGCTGTGAATGCCTGCAATTTGTGTCTGCCTGTCTGTGCAGCTGATGTCACTGTCATTACTGTGTTTGTGCCATTGTTGCTGGGATTGTTTTACAACGACCTTCCCCTTTATTGGTACTGTTGCTGATGATGTGCCATATGTACACATGCACATTAGAGTAAGAGAACATCATCCTTAATTGTTCCTGGGTAGCTGTCAATGCCATTTACTGAGTATGAATACTAATTTCTGCAGGAATACAAAGAAGCAGATATCTGGTCTTGCTATTATTCTGGGTTTTTTCCCAATCACTAGGAGAATTGCAGTGCTTCCAACCATGGTGGATTTCTTGTAGTGTTTAAATAGATGAGAACTCAATAGATTGAGGTGGCTCATTCAACAAGTCTGCTCAGTTCCTTGTCAGGCTGTTACAGATCTAGTGCAGGCCCAGCCACGATTCTTGAGTTCTACCAAAGATTTCCAGTATGAGTTGAGAAAATCATTGAAACTCTTGGACTTGGGGATTTTTTTCCTCCTAACTGCAGAGGAGAGATGGTGTTTTATATAAGGGTGAAACAGCCTTCTACACCAGCTAAGAAAGATCATGTTCCTTCTTTTTACTAAGTAGCCTGGATTTTTCAATTGAAATACCCTGCTGGTCTTTTGACCCACTTTGGTGATTGGTGCTCCCACCAGTTTCTCTATTAGGACTACATGACTCCAGCATAAAATTAGTATGTGTATTGCTGGCAAAGTGGTAGTAAGTGGTTGAAAACTCCTCTTCACACATCATTCTGTGCTTGTTTTCCCTGCAGGAGGAGGAATGCTGATCCTATCTGTGCAAATCTGCAGTCTGAAATCATGAAGTGCTACCAAGAAAACAAACGTGAAGTGCTCAAATGCTCGGAGCTGGCAAAGGAATATCAGCGCTGTGTTAGTGCAGCTCATAAGGTAACAAAAGCTCCTCTGTTGTACTGGCTGGGTTTGCTGTCTTGTTTTGCATGGTGCTTTCTTCTGAGAAGTGTTTTTGAGAGCTGTGGTATCTGTTAGTCAAATTGCAATCTTCGTAGGAGGCAAGTCTTCCTTGGGATCCATTTTCCCACATTCATTCCGCATTTCCCAGTCACACAGTGTGTCCCAACTTCATTCCTGTCAGTGAGTCCTGTTGTACCAAGCTGCCACCACAACAGTAGAACCAATGCTCCCAGTTTTCAAAGTCAATGATTTTCCCTAGTTTTACCTTCTTGGATGTTGGTATACTGCAAACAGTACGTAAATCCACCTTGGCAATGTCTGCAACATTTTCAACAGGCTTTAAACATCTCCTGTTATGGGACTTTGCAGTTGGAGGTCTTGCTTCTTTTCATTGCTGCATGGGGAAAGGTTCTGTACTGGGCAAAGCTGCTGCCTGTGAAGAAAATTCCATACTCCTAAAAACTCCATCTTGTGTTGGGAAGCCAGGAAGCCTTATGGCTCTTCCTTTTGAGATGCAGAGTCCCAGTAGTTTCTGTTGATGCCTTAGGACAATGGCTGCTCAGTACCTTGGAAGAATTTCTGGCTATTGAAACAAGTGAAGGGGAAAAGAAAATGAAGTATTTGGACATTAAAACCAGGGTATGGTCCTGGGCCACGAGAGAATTCAGTGGGTCAGGTGTCCCTCAAGGGCAGACTTTTCAGTTTTGTTTTTTGGGGTTTTTTTGACAGTTTAAAATTCTCTAAAAGGTGCTGAGAATATAGTAAAGTGGATGTGGGGAAAAGGATGGTAATAGAAAATTGAGACTTCTCTCATGGGATTACTAAAGCAATAGGTGGGGGAAAGGTGGATATTTCATGGAAGCAGTCTTTCTCTGCATTAGCATTGTGAGGGGAAGCTGTATGCCTGATTTAAGTATAACATGAAACAAGCTGCCAGCCGGCTCCCAGAAGAAGCCCGACAGAAGGAGATGGGAAAATTGTCAGGATATATTAGACCAAATGTTGTTGCTAGTCCTGGTGGAATTTTTTTCCTTCCTGTTTACAAAGAAGGTCTTTGTATGTCTGCAAATCAGCAAGGTTAAAGCTGCCAGGGAAAGGGCTTTTCTCTGATATCTCTAAAGTCTCCAGCTCCCAAAACATGTGGTTTCTTTTTCTTCCTCAGCTTTAAAGTAAAGTGGTGCCTGTGCTGCTGCTGCACAATCCCTGCCCCTGGTTGCTGTGTGCAGAGCACTGGTGCATCTATTGCCAGCCTCTGTTATCTTCCTTGCCTCCCCTAAATCAGGCTTGTAGCCCTTTCAGTGGAGTATATCTTTAGCAAATGCATTTACCAATACATCTTTATTGCATGCAGTGCAGGCGGAATGTGATTACCAAAGAAGACAGATTGCATTAAACTTCAGCATATTTGCAAGCTGCGGCTCCAACCCGCCTGAGAAAGGGGCTGGGATGCTGCCAGCCCTGAGCCCCAGCCCAACATTATTAGAGTAAATTGGAAGCTAAATGACTGGTAACAGCAGAGGGCAGTGAAAGATCCTAATAACTTGGATCTTTCTTGGATTTGGTGGCAGTTTTGGTAGGTTTTCTTTATAAACCAAAAACTGGTTGTCTTCATTCCCAGAGTCTTCAATGAACTTGAGAATTTTTTTTCCCCATTATTATCAGAAACTACCTGGAAGGAGTAGTGCAGAGGACATGAATTTGTTGCAGATGATGACAATGTGGCAGAAAATCTTGCTATGTTTTAAGAAGAGGCTTGAGAGACTAAGGAATAGGTAACTAACACCTTGCAGCTAGAGGTAGGCACTAGAGGGTTCTGCAAGTACAAATTCAAATGCAACTTTTTTTAAGGCAGTATGTCTTCTTTAGTTTCCTTTTTTCCCAGGACAGCTCAATTCCCTGACAATTTGCCTCACTGCTCTTACTGACTCTTCTGACTCCTGAGATACATGTAGCAATCACAAGCTGTTGTTTTATCATGTAGGATTAAAACTCCCTCCTCCCTTCCCCTTTTTAAGCTGTTATTTTTCTTTAAGTTTAAATTAGCATCTTATACCAAATGGCATTGTCTCACGCGTTCCTCTTTCAGGGAATTCAGGTTGGAGGAATGTGGGAAAGAAAGGCCAGAATCTCTTAATTTCTTCAGTATTTTTAACTTTTTTTTTAAAAAAATACAATTTGTTTGCCAGTGCAGGAGGAAATGTAATCAAAGTTGGATGTGTGACTTCATCTCACTTGCATGGTGGTGATTTGTTCATTTGCTTTTTACTAAGGATTTTATAAGGCTTGCTGAATATTCTTTAATGAAGCATCTGCTTCTCTGCAAGTTCCTTTTGATGGCTGGTAAAAATGTCTGCAGGGCATGGTATACATTAGTCTCAGAGAAAGCCAGCTCTAGATTTCTAGACCGAAAATTACAGCTTACCATGGATGAGAATAATTCTTTGCCTCTTCCCCCTTACTGTGTTTGTTTGAGACCATTCCTTTGGACACCCATTTCCCTTTGGCTGTTGTTCTGCACATTTCTGAGCCAGGAGCTCAGATACACCCTCAGTTATTTCTGCCCTATGAACAAATATGTTAGGTAATCATTTGATGTATTTTAAAATTGATTTTCTATTGGTTTTCTGTACAGCTCCTCTTCCTAGAAGAGGTTACTTTATTGTGGTGCATGGCAGAGATATAGCTATTGTTACCTGTTTTGTATATTTTCTGGTTATTGAGCCATGTAGTAGTTCTCTCTTGTGGTCAACAGAGAGAAATAGGCATATGTAGAGTGTGATGCATCTGATTCTAAAAAGTCATCTGAAACAGGCCAGCTGAATTGCCATCCAGAGATGAGTATTTCTTGGGAGGTGCATCCAGAGCATAGACTACAAAGCTGGTGCCTGTTCTGGGATGCTCATGGTTATGGGAGCAGGATCCTGCTCTGGTTGTCTGCCTTTGTAGCCAGTATGCTTTCAACTTGCCTGCCTAACCTGCTCATGAGCTTTTCCACTGATACTATCCTGAATGTTGAGTTTTGGTCACCGTTGACTCAGTGCAGCATCACTGCGCCAAGCGTTGACTCATCAGCCCCTTTAGGCTCTGGGTTCCTTGCTGCATCCCATGCTTCGCTTATGTGGAAGTTTTCTGACTTCAGAGGATGTTACTGTGACAGCTCCTGTTTAATTTAGGAGTGTTTTATCTTTTCTGGTGGTCTGTTTCCATGGCTCTGCAGAACTTGAGCTACAGCATAAAAATCTCTGGCTTTAAATCTAATAAAAGCTGGGATAATGGGACAGCTGTAGGAGGGGCAGTTCCCATTGTGTCTTTCAAAATTGCCTGTAGTTTATTGACCACAAGTTTCACCAAGAACTACTGCTGCCGTTAGATAATGAGAATTGAAAATTGCTGCTGCTGTTTCCCCAAGGTTTTATCGCGTGCCAGTGAGAAGGGGGTGTGGAAGGAAAAAGAGAGTGGGCAGTGGAAATCTGCGTAATTTCTTAGTTTGGGTCCAGACGGAAGGGGAAAACAAATGATTTTGTTTTAAAAAGTCTGAGTCCTATTAGTGAATTGCTTCCCTCCCCCGTGCAAATATGCACTCACATGCAAGGTTTTCAGAGTGTTTGTGACCCATTCTGCTGCCCTTGCGTTCTGTTCACACCAATAGGCAAATGCGAATTGAAAGCGAATTTTAGTTGGTTACTTTGTTACGTAATTGGTGGTTATGCCGGGGAATCTCCAGCCAGCTGCCACTTGGAAAATGAGGCCTCCAGTGACCATAGATTAATGTGATTTGAGATTTCAAACAGAACCTGCTTCCTGCAATTGTGTGCAGAAAATTGTCTGTTAGTGAAGAGCATGTATTCCTTCTTTGCAGGGGTTTCCTTACTGTCTCTAGGTGCCTGTCTTCCACAGAAAGGACCAAGGTGAAATTTTTGTGCACTAGCTCCTGGCCAAACCAAGCTATCAGGAGCCGTGTACTCAGACATGTGTTTTCCCTTGTCAATAGGAGCTGTACACATTGAGCTAGCAGCCATTCATAATCCTGCACTCTTCCTCCCTGTTCTGTGTCCAGCTTCTCACAAATCTGCTATTCATAACAGAAAAAGGTAAACCTACTTCTGTCAAGGCTTTAGGGCTTGTCTATGTAAGGAAATTACAATGCAATAAACTGGTGAGTTTCTCTGTATATGAACATTCAGGGTTTGTAATGAAAGTGCAGGGAAAATTCACACACATTTACTGTGAGTCACTCTGCTGTGTGCAAACAAGCCCTTGCCTAAATACTGATTGACTGAATTCCAGTGAAGGGAGACTTTTAACCTTGAGTCGTCTGTATTTTGCTTTGCCCTTGACTATAATAAAAAGGAATATGGTCAATTTATTGTGTTTACATTTCCAAGTGATCTCTATGAAAGCCCAGTTCCCTTCTGGCATGCAAAGCAAAGCATTAGACCTCTGCTGGAAGTTTGTCTCTAATCTGTGGGCAGAGACTTAGATTGCTGAGAGGATGCTGCAGGTATTTCTGCAGTTCCCATCCTGTTGGAGCAGTTTTGCTGAAGCACTCTTGATCTTGCTGAAGCGTGGCCTGCTGGGAGCTTTAATTTCTGCAGCTTGGATCTCTCTCTGCTAAAGAGAAACAGAGTTGGATGCCATGGGCTGCACTGCTGATATCTGAGCATTCTGGATCGTCAGACTTTTGCTAAAGTGTTGTTTCCATTCTGGTGGATTTCAGGGTACTTTATAGACAGATTGTGTACTTATCAGGATAGAGAGCAGCAGTCAGTGTGTGTGGCTGGAGAAAGAAAGTTTGGACCAGGTATAGCAAGGTCTGTATCTGTACTCTAGAAATGCCAGGATTTCTCCTCCCCCTGGGATTCTACAGAGGTGGATCTTGGCGGTTGAAGCCTCATTGAGGAGATCTATCACATGGTATGCTGCTTGAAATACAATATATCTGACTTGAAAGGCCTTAGGGTTGTTTCAGCTTTCTG